ACATGATCGGGACACCATCAAAACATGACCGGGACACCGTCACAACACGACCGGGACACCATCAAAACATGCCCGGGACACCATCACAACATGACCGGGACACCATCACAACATGACCGGGACACCATCAAAACAGGACCGGGACACCATCACAACATGACTGGGTCACAATCAAAACATGATCGGGACACCATCAAAACATGACCGGGACACCATCACAACATGACCGGGACACCATCACAACATGACTGGGTCACAATCAAAACATGACCGGGACACCAGCATCACATGACCCGGACGCCATCAAAACATGACCGGGACACCATCCGCCCACCAGCTCTGACGGTGACCCGACGGCGCCCGTCCGCCTATTAGTTTTGCAAGACCCCATAGCATGGCTATTGGGGAAAAAGAAAGCTTCAAAATGCTGCGAACACCTTTCTTTTACCTGGGTGCTTGTCCAGCTTCATGACCGCCTTTAAAATCCCGACGGCAGTGCAAAAGCCCCAGCAAAGCAAGATCCAGACAGGAGCCCCTTGGCCAACGCCCAGATGTCCAGAGATCTCCAGGTCTGCATCAATGAAACCTCGACAGTTGAAACGTCGCCGACTTTCCAGGAAGTGTTGTATAAAGACTGCGGTCTTGATGTTTTCATGGTTGGAGGCCATCGCTTCGATAGATTAAAGGCCAACGGAAGACCGAAGAACCGACGGACAAGCGACTTTAAGCGACTGAGGCGATCGAGGCGGCCTCGGTCCTCGTCTCCCAAAGACTTCACCCGCACGACTTCACCCGCCTGCCGGACCAAATGCTTTCAGCCAAAGCTTGGGGATGTCTTCAACCCCAGCACCTCGGATGCAACGAGCGAAGCAAGAACGATGAAGAGAGACCTTCTGGACCTTCTGCCTGTAATTTGGACCTTGTTCATTGCCTCATATAGCTTTGTATATGAAGAGAGGCAATCCTGGCCTTTAGAGGAGACCTTAGACCTTTTTCCATCCGGCGAAGTCGAGGTCTAGGTCAAGACACAGTACGGAATCGAAAGCAAACCCAAAACGACGCCCATGATGATCATCACGAAGAAATCCAACCCCACATGCCGGTCGATGTAGGGTCGGTCCAAAAGCTCCTCCATGGAGCCGAGGTCATCGAGAAGAGAAACATATTGTGCTGCTGGGTCTAAGATGGTCTTATCTTCCGACATTTGTCTTGGTTTTGTGTCGCGAGCACTATGACACATTTATAGTTGACTCCTCAAGGATGCTTGATATAAATCTTGAAAACACAATCGAGCATGAAAAAGAGAGAGAGAGAGAGAAAGAGAGAGTTTAAGAAAAAAAGGGAACACATTGCTTGGTGAAAGTGTTAGTGCTCTTCTTGTTGTCCTGTTTTTTTACCGAACAACGTGGATCTTCCGTGGATCTTCGCCTTCATGGCACCGCCACTTTCCGCGGAGTGCGCAGACTCCGAAGCGATCGGCACCTCCATGTCTCGGACGTCCGCCATGGCACAGGTCGGTCAGATGCCCTTTGCTCCTAGTAGCTTATTGTTTCTAATAGCTTCTTGTTACTACTAGTAAGGCACTTGCTACTAGAAGCGATGCACTTGTTCCTAGTAGCGTTCTTGCTCCTAGTAGCGATGCCCTTGTTACTACTAGCGATGGCCTACTAGCTGTGATGAGATAATTGTTTGTGTTTCCAAGCGATGACTTCGCATGAACCAACAGTGCAATGACTTGGATCAGAAGTGAATGTCTTAAAATGGACTCTCTGCAGAGTTCTTTAGAAATATGTTCTACTGAACCTCGTGGAATGAGGCGTTGCCGAGCGAGCCTGGGTGAAAACAGGAAAGTCATCAGGTGTGTTGAAGCACATATCACCCTGTCACATCGGCACTTCAGTCCTCCAGGCAACTGGTGATATCGTTCCAGCTGATGGTATCCTTCAAAGGGATCCTATACCAAAACAACAACCTACTAGCAATGGCCTCCAACCTAAGAGGAATCCAAAGGATTCTGCAGAGCCTATACAATCTTATACTACCACGCCACCACGCACGACAGAAGTCACAAAGAAACGAACGTGTCTGACTTGTACAAGACACACAGGTCAAAGTATATGTGCTTCTTGTTGCTAGCAGCTACTTGTTCCTAGTAGTAAGGCCAGGAGCCCCTAGTAGCGTTCTTGCTCCTAGTAGCGATGCCCTTTGCTCCTAGTAGCTTTATTGTATAAAAAGGAAGCGTTGCAATTTGCAGTTTGAGGTCGGTAGGTAGGTCTTGGGAAAATCTCAATCGAAGTTCATGTAATGGTCGAAGGTGTCTTTCCTCGAGGTGGGCTTTTAGCTAATCAGCTTCTGTGGTGAGAGACCAAAGGTCTACAAAATATGCAAAACCTACAGGTGCCTTACTAGTAGTAACAACAAGCTATTAGAAACAAGTGCCACGCTAGTAGTAACAGGTGCCTTACTAGTAGTAACAAGAAGCTACTAGGAACAAGTGCCACGCTAGTTTTGCTGTGGGCCTTAGGTCTTCGACTGCCAGTGTCACCCGCCTCAGACAGGAAGAACGCCACAGTTTTGGCACCAAGAATTCCGTAGGGGTAGTCGCGATCCGCCAAGGCCTTGATCTACGCCGCAACGATGCAGAAATAATCCAAACCTGTTTGTAAATAGCCATGGCCTCCGACCTAATAGCAATGGCCTCCAAACCTTTTCTTTAGCAAGGTGTGTAAGGTGTTGCAGGTCTTGGCTCAAAATTCATGTGAACATGTGTTTCTTCCACGAGAAGCAAAAATGAAACCGGCAAAAGACCCGTTCGAGCCCGAGCTACGGCCAGATTCGACCGACGCGCCTTCACAAAGTCATCTCTGCACAGTGGTCCGCGGGCAAATCCTGGGCAAAAGCAAAGTGATGACACGGTATACGGTTCGTGTGCCTTTTTCACCGATTTTGATGTTTGCCAAAACACGTGTGATGTTTGCAAAAAAACAAAACACGTGTTGTGGCACGTCATGTTCAATGAGAAAGGTGAGAGATTGTCGGTACTTTGAGGTCTAGGCCCAACTCTTCTCGTGCGGCCTGTCCGAATGTCAAAAGTGAGAAACTTGTCAATGCTTCCGGGCTCCCCCTAAGGAATGGAACGCAAGTTAAGCCTCATCTACTAAGTGTATGTCCTCGGTTCTTTTTTTTAAATTGCCCCTGTTGCTTTAATGTTTATTCTTGAGATCTTTCTTTTGTTTTGTCAACGCTTCGAGGCTCGCCCTGGGGCTTGACAGGAAAACAAATCCTTTCAATCAGGACGGATCCCTTCGGAGAAGCATCACTTTCTAGAGAAAATAGAGAAGAAAGGAGCATCACCGGTCTACCACTTAAAAGGTTTCTCATCGCTAGTAGGTTGGAGGCCATCACTAGTAGGTTGATTTTTCCCAACCAAGTCAATCATACGAAGGGTCCGTCGCCCTTCTGCGTGCTACGACTGTTCTAGCTTTTTCCGTACTTTCCTGGTCATGAAGCGAAAGGGTACTTGGAAAAATAGTGTGAAAAAAAAAACAAAACAACAACAACAAAAGGAAAGGAACAAACCGCCAGTTAAGTAAAAACTGTGTACCAAATCTCTCTTTCTCTTTCAGCTCTTTCAGCACTCAGTTCCGAGCATCAAGACCAATTCTGCCGAGCCAAGTCTTTAACTCGCCCAGCCTTGAGAGAAGCACGGGCGGACCAAAGGGACCAAAGAGGAACTTCACCTACTAGCGATGGCATGACCGCTCCGTTCGTAGCGTCCGATTAGCGATGCCAGGAGCCCCTAGTAGCTTCTTGCTCCTAGTAGTAAGGCCAGGAGCCCCTAGTAGCGTCCCTATATTTGTTTTTGTCCTTTCTCTTTCTTTCTTGATATTTATTGACTTTATCTTCTTGATTCATGTTCTCTTCAACCATTCTATGTCCTTCCTTATATCTCAAATATGTGTCTAATATATAATTACGGCTTGTGGAAGATGTCGGGCAAACTCAAAGTGTCAGTCGGACGGGACGGTTTCGAAGGCTTCGACGTTTTTGTCGCTCTGAGACACTCTCACCCTTCTATGTTCAACGTTTGGTACTTGAGCTCTGGGCGCCAACAAACGCTGCGGCATGTTCATCCGTCGCCTGCCAAAATGGAATTAGGAAGATGATGAAACAACCTAATAGCGATGGCCTTCAACCTATTACGTAGCAATAGCCTCCACGATGAAGAAAGCAAATTTGTTCCAAGGCACTTGTGGCGTTCTGCGAGTGACCAGCTGGCGTCCAGGAGCGGTGTGGGAGCCATGGCATCCACCTCCAAGAAATGTCAAACGAAATGTCAAAAGAGCTGTCAGATTCTTGTTACCAGTAGCGAACATTGCTCCTAGTAGTACGGCCAGGAGCCCCTAGTAGCGTTCTTGCTCCTAGTAGCGATGCCCTTTGCCCCTAGTAGCTTCTAGCTTGAACCTACTAGAATCGAACAGTTGATTTTAATAAAAAATGAACAATGATTCCAATGCATCCGTCGTTTCCTCAAAAGGCTCACAAAGGCTGACAGTTCACATCGGATCTCTTTGAATCACTGGAGGTGAGTCACTACAGTTCTTCACGGTTCTTGACTTTAAAGAATTTGATCACTGACTCATGAGGCATCTTGAAAGACCTGATATGTTTTCACGGGTTGGAGGTTGTCCTTCCCCTGCCATTCGAGGTCAGTAATGCAGTCCTCCTTCGTCAATTTCAAGCTCAAACCTCTTGAGACTCTGTAGCGGGAGCGCAGCGGTAGCGAAAACAAAGGGCTCGAAGAAACCACGTCGATCGAAAGGCAGCCGGTGCCTATGGCTCTCTTTTCTAAGACCGCTGAGGTCTGGCTTCAAAAAGGGGCCCCTGAGCATGAACAGCCACGGTGGAAAAGTGGCATCTTTACATGGAAGCTCGATGCACGTGTTGCACCGGTAAACAAAAGGACTCAGACTTTGTCTGATGAGCATCGAGCTTGGCCAGCGCAGTCTTGCCGGTCTTCTTGTTCTTCTTTGCCGCTGTGAACGTCGGGTCGAAGTTGATCGCCCACTTCCAGCTTTGGAGGAACCGCTGGAGACCCAACCTGCTGTCCAGCCGCTTTTTAGTGAGCGCGTCCCCGAGGTCGTAATCGGACGCTACCCACCTCAATTCACAGCCCGTGCGCTTCAGGTGGTCGCGCAATTGAAAGGCTTGTAGGGCGCTTCGAAGGTTGGCCAACCCCAGTAGCGGCGACTCATTGACTTCGACTGCGTCGAACCCTCCTCGGCTGTCTGTGCACAGCACGCCGTGCACACGGCGGACGATCTCCTCCATGGCGTCCACCATGTCGAAGCCACGTAGGCTTTGGATCTTCAGTCCGGAGCCATGGATTTCAGCCCATAGCAATCTGCAGCGGAACAAGACATCTTCCGTCTCCAAAATCGCCTGGACCTCCGCGTCATTGCTTCCCACTGCCCGGCGTTTTAGACGCCAGGTGCGCCAAGCCAAGAGGCTCATCCTGCAGACATGTCCGGCTTTGCAAGCCGGTGATGAGGCCAGGATTACGAAGCCTCCAGTGCTCTCGCCCTTGCTCCTGTTGTTGTGAGCTTGATCGCCCATGCCGATGAACACTACCTCGGACCAGTGGGAGATGTCATCAAACTTCACGAACTCGAGGGATGTGGCCTGAGCACGGCATTCGGCAATCATTGCCTGGATCTCCCTTGCATGCTCCAAGGTTCCGGCAGTGGTGACCTCTGAGAGGAGCAGGTTGCACCGCGCAGTCAAAAGTGGTTGTGACTGCACAGCGAGCCACTGTAGGGCTCCAAGTGCCGTTCGGCACGCTGCGACCTCTGAGGGTCGAAGAGCATCTTGCTCCCGGAGACGGTTGCCATCGATGTCAATGTCCATGAGCCCTTCCACATAGCTGTTCTGGTCGACCACAATCTTGAAGTTCCCAGAGCGGTCAACCACGGTGTGAACATCAGAGCCAGCGTGCCTGTAGGAACCCTGCTTCATGGTTCCCCACTGGTATGCAGAGTCGATGAGGTGGCACACTTCATTCCACTCAGCTGATGTTTCATCACCAATCCTGTGGAAGTCGTCCACGTGTCCGCCCATCAGGCCAATGAGGCGAGGGTGATCACCATGTGGATCTTTTTCGTGCTTGCTGTACCAAGCCCATAGACATCGTTCACCTCGAACCACATGGCCGCCCAGAGATGTGAGTTTCTCATTGAGCGACAGCCAGAGCCCGCGGGGAGCTGTGGTGCTGCCATATATGTTTCGAAGAATCCGCAGGCAGGAATCTTCAGGAGCTCCAAGCGCAGCACGAAGTTCCGGCACCCCATAGGTGTAGAGCTGGTTGTCAGCAGCTGTAGGCTCGGTTTGCAGGAAGGCAGAGGCCAAATCAAGTCCTTGCAGCTTCCATTGATGTGTCACGGAGGCCATGTAGATCATATGGCGTCCCAATGTAGAAATGACCGGGGCAGACGTTTTGAAGTTGCGCTCAAGCAAGCTTGGATGCTGGAAGCCAAGCAAGACGATCCTTGCTTTTGCCTTTCTGGTGGCATCGTGATTTACCACCGTGTTGGGGTTGTTGAGCTGATCTTGTACTGCTTCTTGACGCTCATCAGGCGTGACAGGTTTCCAAGTCAGCACCCATCTTGCCTTCAGAATGCGTCCGCTGCCAAAGGCTTCACGAGCTTCGTCATCATCCAGGCAGCGTCGAACTGCGCTGTTGCGCAAGAAGGAAGTGACCTCCTTGGACTTGGCCCGGTTGAAGAGAACCAAGTCCTGAGCACTAACATTTTTGAGGTTCACCTCGGAGGAGTTGAGCTTCTTGGTCAGGTAGAGGACAGGGTCCTGCATGAAGCTGCGGCGTTGTCGCCGGTTCTTGAGCTCAATGTCCACTTCGATGGAGAGGCATTCACCATCATAGGACTCCAGGAAGGCGAAGAGGTCGTGGTGTGTGATCTCATCTTGCGCCTCTTCACGAAGCAGATCCAACCATTTGAGGTCATACTCAGTCTCATGGTCGCCACGATGGCGTTTGACTTCTGGCTCCTTGGCGTCGGCCAATTTGAGCTTCTTTGGATCTGGCGCTTCATTTTCTCCATAGTCATTGACCCTTGTAGAAGACGAAGGCAGGGATGTAGTGCTCTCTGGTTCAGGATCATCGCCAGGTTCTGGATCTGGCAGAGATGGTGTGTACTCTTCATCAGGAACCTTGAAGTCCTCTGAAGTCGGCGTTGTCCGCGGTGGAGGCAGATACTTCTTTGGAGCAGGAGGTGCTCGGGCTTGACCGATTGGACTAGATCGATGCACGACCTTGTAGTCGGAGTCCTTCAGGGTGGATTTTCCCACAGCTCGGCGAATCGGAGCCAGCGTGGTCTCATCTGGAGCCGCTGGTAGGTCAGGTAGTTCCTGATCGAGTTCGCCGGGTTCTTCATCAAGAAGGTCGGTGTACTCCTTCTTGGGGATCATATCATCCAAGGACTTCCATTGAGTGGGGTCTTCCCCTGATGAAATTTCGTGCCGAAGTCGTTCAGTTTCATTTGCAGGCCGGACGGAGTGGACTGAACAGCGAAGAAGCTTCCGTCCAAAAAGAACCCAAACAATGTGTTGCCTCTTGTCATCAATGTCTTGGTGTGGGATTGCTTCAGCAAACACAACTCTTCCAGGTCCCACCCATTGGGGTCTTCCAGACTTCTTGTGTCCTCCACGAGAACCTTGATGTTGTTCTCCAGCTTGAAGTTTGCGCCAAACCATGACCAGTTCTGTCGGCGCATACTGTCGGACAGGCTGTCGGACAGTGGTGTTGGCCAGCTTGCTTAGCACCCTTCTCGCACGCGATCGACGCGCAATCTCCTCAGCTTCAGAGCAAGCCTTGGTGATCCGAAGAAAATCTTCCTTGGGCTCGATGGCATTCCATATGCGGATGTCCTCGTCGCTGATGGAGTACTTGGTGCCAAATGCCCATTGATGGGAAGAGTAGCCGGCGGTGTACTCAGTGCCATTCAAGGCTGAAGCTGCCAGTGTGAGAGTCATCTCAGGGCTGTTGCTCAGGTTCTCCTGGTGGATAGCTGTAGCCACGTGCTTGATGTCAGCAATGGCGGCCTCCACAATGCCATGACTCCACGGCTCTTTCTCAGGAGGGTAGTGGACCTGAATGTTCTCGGACTGGAGGAAGTCGTGGAACTTTGAAGAGATGAAGCTCTTAGCATTGTCGGCAACCACCAGTTTTGGTCGTGGATAGTGACCAAGCCAGCCTTGCACAAGTGCCTGAATGATCTCATCGGTTGCCTCGGGTTGCATAGCCAACTCCGGGTAGAGCTTGAGAAGCACCACAACACGAAGCTTGGTGGCCAGGTCGATGATCAGCAGGAATCTGGCCTTCTTTCGTAGACCAGGAACCAGCCATTCGGAGGTGTCCAAACCAATGCACTCCCATGCACGTGGTAGTGCGTGAGTTGCTGCAGGAGGAACTTGGCCCGATGATGTGCCACCTGGCTTGAGGGCCTTGCAGGTCTCACATGTGTGTTCCAAAGCCGCTTGTATCTTCCACAATGGTCCTCCAGCCTCTCGCACAAGACGAGCGAGGTTGCGGGCAGTTGGATGACCCGCAGCTTTGTGGAAATGGGCCAGTCGAGCCTTCCACTTTTTCAGCTCATCCGAGGTTGGAGTCAGGGAAGTAGAGATGGGTGTGGCACCACCTTCGGGTAGAAGTTCTTGTCCCGCTGGTTGTCCTTGGAGAGCAGGTAGTGCTTGAAGTGCAGTGCGCTCCATGTTGATCTCGTCCTCAATCGGGACCATGTAGGGCTTGTCCTCCTTGGCAAAGATGAGCTGCATGTTGCGGTCAGAGACATACTCTTGACGCCATGCCAGGGCCATCGATTTGACCATGCGCCAGGGATAGTAGGAGCTCTTGGATGTCTCGGCTCCCTGAATCCAGGCATGTCGGTGACTGCCAGGACATACCTTAGCCTTGAAGCGCTGGTGGAAGAAGGAGCTGGTTGTCCGAATCATCCATCGCTTCCGAAGAAAGTCGCCAGCACCATCATCAGCACGGAGACCATAGTTGCACCCATCAACACGGCATGGAAGCCATTCACGGCCGTGAGCTTGGAGGAGGTGAGCAATGTATTCCAAGGGTCGTTGATTCCATCCTTCACAAGGCCAAGGCCACTCCCAGTAGATGTCGGTCTCGGGATCCTCGTTGAGGGTGTCTTCAATGAAGTGAGCTGCTTGCCATAGCATGCGTCGCTCCCGACGGCGATAGGTGGCTAACAGTTCTTGGCGCTCCTCAGTGGAGTAGTTGAGCTTGGACCATTGGCACCACTTGGTGCAAGGAAGACTGAACCACAGTCGCCGGGGACGATGACGGCGTCGAAGACCCTTCAAATGCTCCCAGGTTGCCGTCTTATAGATGTCATAGCCCTGTTGGAGGTTGATCCGGCAAGGTCGAAGACCTTGTTGGTCGCAAGCTTCACTGAGCCACGAGTGAGGTGCACAGGCGATCTCCCAAATGCCATCCTGTTCATCGAGGACAAAGTCCATAGTTGTTGATGCCATAGAGCTCAACAGCGTTGTAGCCATCAGCAGCAGCTTCGCGGCCATAGAGCTCTTCAAGGGCATAGTGGAAGAAGTCGATGAAGTCATGCATCCTCCTCGTAGGCCTGAGCCAATCCGGTCATGGCAGCCAGGTCTTGCTCTTCCATCACGGCCTTGCGTTCCTCGAGGAGCTGCATGAGCTGTTCCATCTCCTTGGGGTTCAGCAGCTGCTTGACATCCTTCTCGAAGTGGTCGGTCGGTGGAGGCGTGCAAATCTCCCGTGAGGAAGGACTGGATGTCTGACCCTTTGTCTTGTTCCTCGAGGTCGGAGTCGCCGGCGAGGTGGAAGGATACCCGGAGCTTTTCACCACAGCCTTGCCCGTCTGCTCCGGCATGTTGCGCTCCCCTTGGATCTTGGAGATCTGGCGGTGCACGAGGTCCTCCAGGACGATGTCCGCATCTACCTTCTTCTGCATGGCATGGACGATCTCGGCCGATGGACGTTCCGAGTTCATCAAAACTTTCAACTCGTCCAGCATCCGTTGAACCAAGGGTGGAGCATCGGTCTTGGTGTTCTGGCCATGGGAGCCCCTGCGAGGGACATACATCCAGCGGATGTTGCAAACTTGGCAATGTTGCCATTGACCGTGAGGATTCGCTCGCACTGAGCCCAGATGATGTTCCCCGTAGCACGGCCACTGCTCCGGATTCATCCGAGGATCTCTTGGATCCGGGCCGACTCCTCGAGGAGGATCGAAGGGCCGAGGTGGCTCCTTCTCGCGGCTGCCGGTGATCTTCTCCCTGAAGTCCGCGGCTGCCGTCTTGATGTCCCAGATCTTGTTCCCCTGCTCTTCGGTCAGCTGGCTGCCCTTGCTCCGGGACATGGCAAGAGTGGTCCGGGGAAATCGAATTGGGCGTCGGGCTTCCAGCCACGTGCATTTGAGCAGCTGAGAGCTGAAGACGGCGGCCACAAACATAATCATGTAGTGTCATCAAATGTTGACGTGACCGTCGGAGTCGTGCTTCATCATGTTCATGAACAACGCGCGCATGTTCTTGGGAAAGAAGTTCCAAGGGCATGAACTGAAGTGTGTGGTGGTCGTTGATCGTGTTGGAGGTGTCTTTCTCAATCACATGGATGTGGGGATGTCCGTCATGACATGTAAAACCACGGGTGAGGAAAAAGGCGATGTCCAACATGTAGTGGCCCTTTTTGTTCTTTTCCAACTGGTAAATCTCAGGATGGGCCTCATGTGAATCCAAGGCAAAACCTGTTGCAAAATCAACCATCATGGATGAGTGTGGACCTGCCAAATGGTTCATGCCGATCAGGATGGGGACCAGTTGCGACCGATCGAACGAAGGATCATGAAGACCTGGTGGATTTGGTAGTGCATAAAGTTCGAAACAATGAGGCTTTCCAGAAACAGCCGAGGTCAACGAGACCCGATAAAGCGCTTGTCCCCATTTGCCGTTCCCGAACCTGAAGTAGGGCCGATCTTCTTTGTGAATCGAAACCACGGCCTGTCGGTCACGGTCGACGATCGTTGAGATCAGTTGCTCAACTGCAATTTGAGGGCCAGCAGAAGCTGTAGCCCCGCAATCCAGGAGACCATGTGTCTCAGGTGGAGAAACTGTGCGCTCAGTCTCATTGATCTGAGCCTGCAAATCTAAGGCACCAAAGAGCATCTCCGTGTTGTAGGCATTGACGGAAGGTCGTCCCACTGGGGCATTGGACTTCCCCTTCCCTTTCTTGCCTTTTGTCCAGGCTTGCGCGTCAAGCCAGTGGACATTCTTTCCTTTCTTGCCACCACCCTTCTTGCCCGTGAAGAAGTCGTCGTACGTGTACGGATCATACTCAGTCATGTAGTTCCATTTGCTCTTGCCTTTTCCCTTGTAGGGACCAGGGTGTCGACGGTCGGGGCATTCTCGAGAAAGGTGAGGACCTCCACACTGGAAGCAGGGACCACGTCCTTTGCCCATGCCACCTGAGGGAGGTTGCTGTCCGAAGCCACGATCCTTGCGAAGCGCGGCAGTCGCTCTTTGAGCTTCAGCCCAAGAGCGTTGAGCTTCCACAGCCAAGGATTCGGCCATGCGCTCAGCTTTCTGAGCTTCTTTCAAGTCCTCATCGTTCTCCTCCTGGGTGGTGTTCTTGTCCTCGTAGGCCTCCACGTTGTAGGCGTCAGCCCAATCCCATGAAGACCAATCTTCTTGTCCCCAGTCACCGGAGACATGAAATGAGTCCCAAGTGGCAGAGTGCCACTCAGCTTCAGGTTCTTCCTCCTCAACAGTGGCCAATTCGTGCCAGTTGGAGTTGAAGAGAGTTGGATGTGATGAGCGGCTGCCAGTGAACTGCTCGCCCCATAGGGTCTGGAGTGCCCTGTTCACCTCATCGAAGTCGAGGGATCCATGGGTCGCCGACAAAGTGTCTCGGCGTTCATCAGCACTCAAACCTGCGGCTTGAAGAAGGCGGAACCCTCGCAAGACTCCGAGAACGAAGGAGTCTGCAAAGCTAAGCTCATTGAGCTCCTCACCAGCCAGTGAGGGCTGCACCCCAGCCGATCGTCGGCTAGGTGAAGACATCGTGCCTTGAGGTACACGTTGATATCCACCACCATGAGGCGAGCCACTCTCCGCTCGGGACGTAGGCGCCGGCAATGTCGTAGTGGGTTGAGCCACGTTGGGATCGAAGTCACCATTCTCGGGGTCAGGAGCGTTCACATCGTCCTGCGGCCACTCAGCCCAATCATCCCACCATGCATCCCAGCCGGAGTCATAGTCCTGCTCATAGTCAGCCTCCTCAGCAGGAAGGCCAAAGTCCTTGTCCTCTTGTCGAGTGCCACGCTTCTCCTCAGCCAGGCGCACCAAAGCCTCAACAAACTCAGAGAAGCCAAGTGCTTCCCTGACCAGGAACTGGGTCATAGGCTCGTGAGCCTTACGAGCAAAGCTGAAGTACTGATTGCAAATCGCCGAGGCGTTGGGGATGCTCTGGCGCACCAATGGAGAAGCAGCCAGGCGCTGCAGCAGAACCTTAGTGCCCCCATAGTCGTCCAGCGACATGTCACTCCAGCTCATAGCCAGCAGCCTCGCCGGGCCGGTGAGGCGTGAGAGAAGCTTGGTGGCAACATAGCGGCGCTTTGCCACCGGTGTAGCTCGGAAAAACCAGGAAACTTCCCGTGTGTATTTACGCCACGTTCGTGGCGACCCATCCCACGATGGGATAGAGAAGTTGCCATCTTCTTTGGACATGCTCGGGGCCGAAAACCAACTCAAAGGAAAAATGAGAGAGGGGCTTGCCAAGGTCCAGCCGCCAAGTCCGCGCGAGGACAATCTTCAGGATGTAGGGCGGGCGTAGATCCAAGGCGCTGGAGCTTGCGCTCCGCTACCATGTAGCGGGAGCGCAGCGGTAGCGAAAACAAAGGGCTCGAAGAAACCACGTCGATCGAAAGGCAGCCGGTGCCTATGGCTCTCTTTTCTAAGACCGCTGAGGTCTGGCTTCAAAAAGGGGCCCCTGAGCATGAACAGCCACGGTGGAAAAGTGGCATCTTTACATGGAAGCTCGATGCACGTGTTGCAGACTCCCAACACAACCCCCCAACACAATCCCTTCTCATTTCATGTTCGCACATGCTTTGGACGAGGAAAATCACACGCGTCGCGTCGCTTCGCTTCGCTGGCTTCGTCAGAGTCTCGCCTTCTCAAGGATCCGCCGCTGCACTGCGGGTGAGTTTTTCTGCTTAAAGTGTGCAACACGATGCTGCCGCAACAATGCCTCCGGGCCTCAGACTTTGGAAGCAAAATAAGGGAGGCCATCGCTATTGATATATGTTGTTGTCTTTCTTGTATGTGTTGATTGTCTTTTTTGTCAAACAACTTCAGACTCTTCGTTGCCACATAGCGGGATCTAGGGACCTAGGCCCATCTCGCTGTGCAGGTCCTGGCTGGATCTCAAACGATCACGATGCACTGCACCCGCTTTGCACTGCTTTCGGTTCAACTGATCTCGGTTTGGCACTTGTCTTTCTTCTCTTTGTGCTTTCTTTCTTTGCTTTGGACCTCTATTATTCGTTGTCTTTTCCTTTTGACCTTTAGCATTCTCTACTGTTTTTTATTTCTTTCATTCAAGACTGGATCAAAGAATCTCCTGTTGGCCCACCAGTACTGTCTCTAAGGGATCGTAAGGAAGACCTCGTGGATTCACCTCGTCAATCTCTCAAAGTCTGCCGTGGCTTTGTATTGCTTTCATGTATTAACCCTCTGGAGAGGCCATCCCTAGAAGGTTGGAGGCCATTGCTATTAGTAACTCAGAAGAAGATTGTATTGCTTTCATTGGATTTCAAATCTCCGCCTCTGGTTCATCTTCGATCTCCACGGGGACATCAACAAAGTCTCCACTCCTTAGCAAATATGAATGCTTATTCAGGCCTGGATAAGGGGGCATTTCTGGGAAAAGACAAATCAACCTCTCAATGTCTCCTGTGTTTTCCAACTTCAGTCTGTTTCTGTGTTCAACTGTCCAACGTGTTTCTTTGCCTGCCCCTTGCGGTTGGGACAAGAAGCCTTTCCAACACAAGGTGTCCGCTTTCGAAGGTCTTAGGGTTAGGCAATTTGCATCGCTACTAGTAACAAGGTGCATCGCTATATGGAACAAGGACGCTACTAGGGCTCCTGGCCTTACTACTAGGAGCAAGGACGCTACTAGGAGCAAAGGGCATCGCTACTAGGAGCAAGAAGCTGTTAGTAAGTACTTCGACTTCCATAAGAACCCTTTGCTGCTGAACCGCAGTTCGCGGTCTCATGGGTCTTGAATGTCCAACCTAATAGTAATGCCCTTGTTACTAGTAGCGATGCCCCTGTTGCTAGTAGCTTCTAGCCCTATTAGACCCTTCTTCCTTGTCCTTTTTCTTTGATTCTAATAGCGATGGCCTCCGGCCTCCACCCTAATAGTGATGGCCTTCACCCTAGTAGCGATCCAAGCCATGTCTTTTAATTGAACAATGGACGCCTTGAACTTTGAACTTATACCCGTGCTGTACCTCCAAGCGATCTGCAACGCGCTCCTTTGAACTCGCATGTGGCACAGTCGCAACCATGCAGGATCCCATTTGGGGTGCTGAAAGCACCAAGAACGAACAGACCTGGAGGCTATCGGCTGCTATCGGCTATCGGCTACTGCTACCTTCCAGAAGCACAGTGGGCTCCTTCAAGACACTTTCCAGCAATCCTTAGCACACTCGCTGACATCCCAATGATTTTGTGTTCAAGGTCCCCTTGTTTCCTGTTCGCAACATGACCTCTCGTTTTCTCGACCTCATCCCGTTGATCTGTTCGCATCCTTTCGTTCCTGGTCTTCTCAGTCTGGGTGAGTCTTTTGCCAAGCGGCCACTCACAGCTCGTTGCCTCAGACTCTCAAATCTTCCACAGCCAGGAGTAAATGAATGAAAGAATGAATGAATGAGTGAGTGAGTAAGTGAGTGAATGAATGAAGATCATTTTAAATGGATTGGCCATCAAAGGGGCTTCACTTGCTGCCTTGGACATTAAGTCTGAATTGGACTGGATGGGGTAGCCACGGTAGCCGGTTCTAAGTGAGACTTTGAAGATTCGGCGGCTTGGAGGCTCTCTCTGGCAGACTAGATGGCATACAGCGACGCTTGACCATCAAGAGTTGGCGGTTGGGCGCAAGCACGTGCAGAAACGGATGGTGTGTGGCCTGATGTCTCAAGTTGACGTTGGACAAGTTGAGCATTCCGCTTGTTCTCTACCAAAGAAAGGTTGAGGGTACACACGCAAATTGGGGAGAATGCTACCACGACCACTTGCAAGAACCTTGACCAAGGTAACTTTGGCCATAAAAGGTGTTTCTGTTGCAAAGAGGAAGTTCCTTTCGTGGACATTTGCAGCCATAACAGCAACTGCCAAATCAAACCGGTTTGACAGCCCCTTCTTGGTAATGAGGGATTTCGCGTTTGTTCAAAGCCCTGTAGTCACAACGGTAGCAAAACTAAGACTACCTCACACACATGTAAAAATTATAGAAAACACATTGTAGATAGAATCTAAGATACGTCACAGAGACAGAAAGAATCCATCCAGTAAAAGAAATGAAAGAATCCATCCAGGTCCAAACGCAAAAACCGCTCCGCTCCAAGGTGGACTGTTTCAACTCATCGTCCGTTTGAACATCCACAGCCGTGAGACCTGCCAGAAGCCATCGTTCTAGCAGTGAAAATACGTCGACCGGAGATTTGCAAGCAGAAAGCCACCCGCTCACCAAACCAACACAAAAAAGAACCAGAGCAAACGCTGCATGCATTCTCTCATTTCTGGGCAGCCTCTTCTGCTGCCCTCACCTTCTTTTCATTGACTAGCTTTCGCCTCCAATAGCACATCATACCGTTGACCAAATAGAGTGCAGCCATGCACTTTTAGCGGCCTCCTTCAGTCACACATCATCAAGAGTCAGGGATGGCAAGATGTAAGCGCTATTTGTTTGTTTTCAGGCGACTTCTGTGTTGCCCTCCACCCCCAAGGCTTCGTCTGCAGCATTCTTTGAGCTTCCGCCGAAGCGTTTCGTGGAGGAAAAAAGTCACTACTAGTCTCACCTTCTCAGAAGGTATGACTGGCCAAATACCAGTTGTAGCGGTCCACACCCGGTCCGCTCCAAAGCCGCCCATCTGAGCATTGGAAACCCCAAAACCATCTCGGAGAGTAAGTAAAAGGAGTGAACAATGTCCCTTCACCGGCCAATGACAACCTGCCACCTTGTACTGTTGAGGAGGGAGAAAGAAAGATCTAAAGGTCTGAAGAAAAAGAAAAAGAGAAGAAAGAAGTTCATATCAAGTTCTCAGTAAACAAAGAAGTCCCATTCTTGTTGTCAGTTTGTAGAACGTGAGGCCTTTAGTCACTTGGAGAATGGGCAGCCTTTGCATCGTTCTTTTCCAAGCAGCATTGGCCGTCCTTGAGCTCTTGCCCAACCTAGGCACAAACTGTGAATCATTGTTACATATTGTTGCTAGTAGTAAGGTGCCTTGTTACTAGTAGCGCCAACCTAATCCAACCTAGTAGCTTCTTGTTGCTGCTGAGATGCTGTTCTTTCAACGGTTTTTCTTGCGGTTCCATGGGTTTCGCCATTTCAGTGAGTTGGGATTTACAAACCGGTACTACAAAGTGGCCACAGTCAAGTGGGCAGCCGAAGGAAACGTCACAAGTCGTTGCTGACATCTTCTTCATGTTGTTTTTGTCATGCACCTTTGCTCCTAGTAGCTTCTTGCTACTAGTAGTAAGGCCAGGAGCCCCTAATAGCTTCTTTGCTCATAATAGCGATGCCCTTTGCTCCTAGTAGCGTCCTTGCTCTAGTAGCGATGCCCTTTGCCCTTAGTAGCTTCCTGCCCCCCCCCCGCGCGCGCGCACGCGCGCGCGCGCGAAAAGGTCCTAGTAGATTCCTTTGCTAATAGTAACAAGTGCCTTACTAGTAGTAACAAGAAGCTATTAATTTAAATTCTACTAGGAAACATTGTTACTACTAGTAAGGCACCTGTTACTACTAGCGATGCCCTTTGCTCCTAGTAGTTTCTTGTTGTTGTCGAAAAGAATTCAACAAGGAGCTCGCAACTCTTGGAGTCCTCGAAGCATGCACAGCTCCTGAACGAGGTGAGGTCATGCGAGATTATGTGGTTTCTTTCCTGTTTATATATTGTTTTAAGCCCGCCCTTAATTGAAGTAAGGCCGACTAGTTTGCTCCTAGCTCTAGGAGGCAGGATAGCTCACGCTTCTTTAAGGGGAGAGCTTCCTTGAAGAAGTGCTCGGCACTAAAAATTTGGTTCCTAGATTTTTTTAGGAAACGGGGGCGGATTGGGTAGATGCTTGACGGAGCAGAACGTTCACTCGAGCTTCCACCCTGTCCTCTCTCGCTGCGATCCTTGCAAGCAGGACGGAGCCTCTTGTTTGGCTTGGCAGGTATTCCTGCAGTGAAGAACATGTGAAGAAATGTGCAGAATTTCGAGCCATCGCTAGTAGGTTGGAGGCCATCGCTAGTAGCGTGGAGGCTATTGCTAGTAGGTTGGACAATAAATACATTCAATCGCTTTCCAGTCTTGGCCAACCCCCGTTAGGGCCTCGTCTTGTTTGCGAAGGTGCAAGGGTCGCAGGACACCTGCTCAGAAAAGCCAGTTCAGATTGCAAGCCACGAGTTTTCCAAAAAGAACACTATTCCTTTGGGGATCAAGAATCAAGCTGATCAATCTGAGTCTTCGTTCTGACATGAGGGTCTGTTTCCCTCAGGTGAAACATGGTCCGTCTCAGACATCAATAGCCTATTCTGCATCCACCAGAATAGCCTTGTTATATGAAATCCAGTACATGCCGGAATCCTCTTGCAGGTGATGTCTGCTGGCTCCACAACAAAGGCGACTCAAGAAGATTGTGAGGCAAAGATGCTGGTAGGTGGTGGCCGCCAGGTAGTGGCTGTAAAGTTGGTTCTTTCTTTTCACAGCTTGTGAGTACAACTCACCCAACAAGCCAATGTAGGTGTTCATGGCCACGAGAGTGATTCCAAGACTGAGAAAAACAAACTGCGTACGGATTCCTTGATGGTATTTGGAGTTGTACTTTTGCTCGTCCATCTCAGCTGAGATGGTATTGTTCTTGATGGTTCCATGGATCTCATCGTCAAGACCTTCCATCTCATTGAGATCAAAGTCTCCTAAGAATTCCAAGCGGAAGATCTTCAGCACTGCATTGAAACTCTCATTCCAACTTCCAACATTCTCTTCGATGGGATACACAGCATAAGCGTGACACGAGGCCATTAATGCCAACAATAAGAAGATCATGTAGAACAAACTTTCCGGTTGTCGCACCGCGTGGATCACCGGCACGATGTTGCGCCCCACGGATTCATATTGAAAGAGCGCCACGATGAAATGAATCCAACGCAGTAGAATTAAGAAAGACAAATAACTGGGATGGTCCGATAACACGCTCTTTTCCACCTCCTCCCGTCGATGGAACATCTCTAACTTATCTGCAAAAAAAGAACCAAAGCACCTTTGGGAAGTGCACGTCTCCAGCTGCTTCTGCCTCCTGCTTCGCAAGTGCCCAGTCGTTCTTCTGGATGCACCAGACGTACCAAAGGACGACAAAGACCGAAAAGAGTTCCAAGAAAATCTGGAGCAAAGTCCAAAACGCCACGGTCTTCCAAAGTACCACCATGTGGTCTGAGAATTGTGCAAAGTGCCGCGATCTGAAGAAACACAAACTCGTGATAATGCGTGCAAACAAAGAGCCAATCGTCGTGACGGCCAAGATACCTAAGCATAAAACGAGGATGATGGAAGGCACTTTGTCAATGCTCACATCGCGGGCGATCCAGCAAAGCACAAAAATGAAGCCAACGTCCACCAGGATTTCAGCTTGAAAAGAGCAGTTGACCTAAGTGCATCGCTAGTAGTAACAGGTGCCTTACTCGTAGTAACAAGAAGCTACTAGTAACAAGTGCCACGCTACTAGTAACAAGTGCCTGAGCAGTTGACCTTGTTTGCAGCTTGTGACACAATGGCACGTCCCAAAACGGTGGTGAAGGCTCGACTATGGGGCGACAATAAAGTCATCTCCTTGAGCATCATCGCCAGCTCCACATCGGAACAACCTAGAAGCTGAACTGCTGGGGATATGCTGTAATTTGCAGTGAAAGAATTGGTGGCACTGCCTTGAGACATGATCCGCCAGAAAGACGACCAAGAATGCCAAAACCAGTATCTGAAAGTGCCAGTACTTTGTGGAAACTTCTTGCTGCTGACTTTGTTAATGAACCGTTCAGCTTCCACGTCCTGAACTTCGTTTTGGAATCTCTTCGGAATGTCAGTGTGTCAAGAAGTGCATCGCTACTAGTAACAAGTGCATCGCTAGTAGAAACAGGTGCCTTACTAGTAGTAACAAAAAGCTACTAGTAACAAGTGCATCGCTACTAGTAACAGGTGCATCGCTAGTAGTAACAAAAACCGTTCAGCTTCCACGTCCTGAACTTCGTTTTGGAATCTCTTTTGAACAAAAGTGTGTCAAGAACACCTATCTCCTACAGCACTTTTGTCAATTTGACTCACTTGACAACAATCCAAGCAGCAAAACGGTGAAAAAGAACGAAAAAACTACCTCGGACTTGAAAGCACTTTCGAGGGTTTTGTTCGTCTTCTGTCGTTGTTGTTCGGCTCCTGTGGGTCTTTCGCCTCGTGACCAATGACGTCGAATCCACCACGGCCCAACTCGATGCGGGTCCATGGCGTCCAATGGTGTGGAGGGTCTCCCCTGATGCATCCTGTACACGGTCGCTACATCAAGCCGTTGGCACCTTGGTACTAATAGCAAACATTGTTACTACTAGTAAGGCACTTGTTACTACTAGTGTGGCACCTTGTTACTAATAGCTTCTTGTCATCAAAGTGTTCCACCAAAATGCATCCAAATGCTAGAAAGATGCGAAGGTTCCGCGCCTTGATCTGGGGGCAGCTGCTTGGTTAAGCCCAAGGAGTCCAAGCGTTGCTTCACTCGTTCCCATTCCAACTCCAAGCTCAAACTTTCCAAAAAACGTTGCAGCACCGAGCGCTCGGTACCCTCATCCTCTCGGTAGAGGCAAGCGTATTGCCTCGGACACAAATCGGGTTAGTTAGTAGTAACAAGTGCATCGCTAGTAGTAACAAAAAGCTATTAGAATTAAAATTAGTAGCGTCTTTGTTCCTAGTAGCGAGGCCAGGAGCCTCTAGTAGCAACCTTTGCTCCTAGTGAGTTATGCTTGTCGTTTTTCTTTTCTTTCTACCTAAAGACCGGTTCTTCCTGTCTTTCTTTTTTACCTTTAGACCTAGATTTTTGGGGGAACTTAAAAGCATCATGAGTACCCCCTTGCAGTTCCCTTGTGCGCTGAGACATGACAACAAAAAAATAAGAAGAACAAGGCTCGAGAGACAAAAGGGAGAGTGTATTAATGTCAGGCAGGGGCATGTTCTCCTGCTCCCATTGCTGCGAGTGCAAACAAAATGCTTTGAACGAAAAAGGTTCTTGTTTGGGGAAACTGAAAGCAAGATGAACGTATGTTGATCCCCAACGGAATTTGGCTCTGCTTGAGAACCGCCGACACGTGAATTGTGTTAAGCGTTAATATTAACACCAGGAAATGGCTTGCCCACAATGCTGCGCAGCTAGAATTACCATGGCTCTCCATACGCCTCAACTGCTGATCCTACGCCAGCAATGAACTTCGGCTACTGGCCTTGACGTTATTTCTTGCGGAGCAATTGCAAGATGGAATTGCCAACGCTAGTAGGTTGGAGGCCATTGCTAGTAACTTCATTAGTATGGAAGCTTCTGGCGTCCTGGACATCACTTGGAAATTGTGGTGGGTAGCCCCCCCGCCGCTCCCGCTCCCGCACTCGAGTTCCCGGCATCGAAGAAGTCGCCCAAACACTAGTACAAGCAATGGGAAACAAGCTTAGTGGGTGTTTTTCCTGATCCTGATTGCTGTTCTTGCGTCCATTTGAGGTGCCGAGCTGCATGAAAAAGCTGGGAGTAAATCGATTGATGGCAGACACCCATCGGTCGAAATCCATCTTCAAGGCAAATAAGGAAGGCACCTCCTTCAAGGGAAGATCTAATCCAACCATTTTCTCCGAACGGACTAGTTCCATTTCTTGGGCTCAAAAAATCCAATGGGCATGCGGCCACGGTTGTGCTGTTTGAAAAGAAAGAAGTCTGTCTCCTGCAAGCCCAGCTGTTGACAAATGTCCTGCTGCTGCTCGTCCGCTCGTTGCAATCGGCGTAGTTTGTGCGCTACCCCATCAGGCGGACTGCGCTTCACCTCCTCTGCGAAAGAGACCACCTCAAAGAGTTTCGCAAGGAGCCAGAGGTCCTCAAGCGACTTCAGGGAGCGTCCTAGTAGCGATGCCCTTTGTTCCTAGTAGCTTTCTTGTTCCTAGTAGTAAGGCACTTGTTTCAAATAGCTTCTTGCTCCTAGCAGCGTGGCACCTGCTACTAGTAGCGTGGCACTTGTTCCTAGTAGCGTTCTTGTTACTACTAGTAAGGCACTTGTTACTAGAAGCGATGCACTTGTTTCTA